AGCTAACTTTATGCATACTGTAGTGGTGTCAATCGAAAGTTTTCCAGGTCATATATCAGGACGGACGTGACACACTGCACTGACAATGTCTATCATCTTGGTCATGATGAGTGCAGGGAAACAACCAGCATCACATATCGCCATCGGTTTAACAACATTTTCATATTACGTTCAGACGAGATACAGTTGCCTTTATTACGGCTTATTCCTTGTGCTGATTCAGTTATCTATATCAGAATGGTCAACGCCAATTGAAGCCCCAAGAGGCACACTTCAGAGAGTACAGTTGCATTTCGCACAACGCAAGCTTTGGCATAATCACACCAGAACGCCATATTGTCTCTATGCTTGGCAGATTAACGGTTTTGTACCCGTTTCATGACAGGCTGCACCGATAAACTGTGTGGCGTATTTTATGTTTAGCAGAATTAACGGTTTATAAATAAATTTCACTTGGATTCGAACCCACTGCCTGTAAATTGCAAAGCAAGCTGATCTTTCGCGTTACTAGTCACGCTTCCTTAATACATCGAGATAAGGAAAGTATTAAATTCTTAGATACAAACTCAACGGATTTCTCTAACCTTCTGAAGAACGAAAGCGAGCATCAGCTATTACTCTGAGATAAAAAATATGTTTAAATTCAACTTAATTCATCACCGGTTATTATCGACTATCAAACAGTGTAATAAATGGGCGAGTCTATATGGTGTCCAAGAAATATTTGCACGATGTAAAGTATTTTTTGCCACCATGCTGTTAATATGATGATTAAAGCCCATATTTTATACAACGCAAATTACCGGCTTAATGATCTTATCGGATCCTTGGTTATCGGTGGTAGGAAGTGATTGACAAGCGCTGGTGGACTCCAGAGTTGCGCTGTGCGTTCACACCGGCCATTTAAACACAATATTCTGCATAACCAGTACTCCATAAACTCGTACGCGCTGATTACGAGGCGTCCTCTTCTGTTGCTGAAGTATAGAGCCAAAACGGTTCCAATGGCCATCCAAATCCAGTTCAGCGG